CCGAGTGTTGGCTGTTGCCATGGAGACGGGAAGCCCAGCCAGGCCCGGGCTCCCCAGGCGCCGCCCCTCCGCGCTGGGCTCCCCAGGGCCCTCGGGTGCCCTGGGCTCTCAGGAGCTGCGCGTCCAGGGGAACGAAGGTTTCCAGCCCCCCACCCAGGCTCAGCCGCCAAAGAGATTGCCCCGAAGCCACCCGCTGAACAACAGCCCGGTGCCATCCTCCGTGAAGAAACTCGGTGGCCGTGAGGCCGCCCCAACGATTGCACCGCTCTAACCCTTTTTTTTTAAAGCAACCAAACGTTCCTAGAGAAAAACTGGACTCGTCTAAGTCTTTTTCCATTGCTTAAATGCTCGTCAGATTTGTATTGATAACAGAAAAGTTAGGCCTACAAACCGCGTTGGGAGGAGCAAATCCTCGGCAGGCTTTGTTCAGGCGAATTCGGTTCCTTTGTGCGGAAACCTGCTGACATTTGGACCGTTGAGGTGCTCTCTCCCTGTCCCCGTCCCCGCTTGGAAGAAAAGTACTTCTAGCTTCCTTCAGGTTAACGAGTCACATTTTTATCTGCGATAGGACTGAAAAGAATCCTTCGAAGACCAGCCCCCAACACAATGGTAGAAAAGATTGTTATTGCAGCACATCATGCTATGCTGGAAGGTGGTAGGTAGTAAAGAGAAGCAGCCAGCAAATGCCTCTTCTTGGGCAGAGAGTTGGTGTTACTCTCCTCGCAGAAGGGGATTGTTGCTACAGAGAAGCTGTGCGAAAGCATCCAGTTTACCCAGAGTGTACAGCCAGCATATGAACGTTTTGCTTTCGGCAGCAGCCTGAAAACTCATGAGATCTACTCACTTGTGGGGCTGTCAGTGGCTTATCGCTGACAGCCGCCGAGATGGGCTAGGACTGACCTTCCACCCCGCATGTTTTCATTGCTGTTAGGGGCTGCTTTGTTGGCGTGGTGGTCTGTACTTTGCAAGTGCTGCTAGCAGAGCTGAACCTGTCCACCCGGAGCTCTGCTGCAGCAGCAGAAACCCAGCCCTCCATATGGAAGAAGGCTTCTGCCCTGCTAGTGTAAAAATGTGTGCAGACATGCCCAGGCCTTCTGCGGCTGCCATGGTCCTTTCCAGGGGTGCTCTTTGCACTCTGTTGATGCAGCTGAAGTGGATGTGCTGGAAACTACACAGGTGTGCACACACTCTGGCAGCTGCTTTCTCATTCTGGCACTGTTATGATGACCTAGGAAAGACAAAGATCTCATTTTGAAGCCTGTTTGAACTAAGACGGTCTGGCTGCTAACCATTAGGGGTCTCCCCTGCTTGAAAAACAAGCATCTGCCTGCAAAATTGCTCCCAGCACCTGAGAAGCTACCTGACCATAAGAGTCCCAGCAGAGCTAAACTAGATCTCTGTAAGGGAAAGGAGCCAAGCACTACAGCCACCTAGCAAATTCTATGGGGTTTCAGATGCACTTGTATTATAGACTTAGAAATGCATTGAAGATGGGACGCTGCTGTTGTACTCCAAAAGAGAGACGAACAGTTACAAACTCAGCAGGAAGCGATGGCTGAACACTATCAAGGTGAAAAATGTAGGGCTCATGTATGGCAAAACTGGGTGCCTACATTTAAGCAGCCACAAAAGCAGCCTGATTTTCACAGGCATATACGGAAACAACATAATCATGGGTGTGGGTAGCTGTAATATAAATAGCACCAGATGGATTTATCAGAGCAATATGATAAAAGAGTTTATTAACAGATCCCAGAAGCAGCCCTATGAACACAGTCTGAAAGTCCATTCCCGTGCTGAAGACACTGGCAGTCTCAGTCTCATTTAACACCAGCTTTCTCCAGATCCTCTGGCAGGATACGACCCTTCTTCCGGGCTTTGTTCTTCTTTTTCTCTATTTTAGCTGTCTTCTTTTTCTGGATGTTCTTACGCCGCTTGTCCTGCCGCTGCTGCATCTTCTCCACCACATGCTCAGTCCGCTTCTCCCACTGTTTCTGGCGCTGGGCTTTCTGCTTCTCCTTGCGTTTCAGGGCTGCTTTCAGACGGTCCTCGTCATCACGAATCTTGACACCTTCTGCCTTATAGAGGACATTGGTCCACTTTATTTTCTTCTCCAGCTCCTGGGCTTTCTTTTGGTCTTTCTCCTTTAGCTCCTCCAGCTTGCTCTTCCTAGCCTCCAGCCTGTTTAGCAGCTGCTTGTAGTTCTTGCCAGTCAGTGGAGTGATGTTGCCTTTCACTTTTTTCCTCTTTTCTTTTTTCTTCTGTGCCTTGTTTAGCTCATTCTCATCCTGGACTTCAACTCTGTTAAAGACCATCTCAGCCTTGCTCTCCTCCTCCTTGCTTTGTGGTGTCACAGTTGCAGCTACCTCCTGGGCTCCCTTCTCCATTTTCTCCTTCATTTTCAGCTCCCTTTTCCGGCGTTTCTTTCTCTCCCTCTCGTATTTCCTTCGGCGCCTCTTTTCCAGCACAGCTGGAGATAGCTCTTTGTCCTGAAAGGCAGAATAGAATAGATGCATCAGAAGGAGCCGTGCAGTACTTAGGTAGTGGATCTAAGATGCCCACAATTCCCATGCTATAACATTTCTCAAAAGGAATTAAACATCCAAGGTTCAATTACAGCCCAGGTTTTCAGAGGTTCTGACTTCCCCAAATTGTGTGAAGGATATGGGTTGAGAGAGAGACCGCATCTGTGAAAAAGCTTCTCTTAGCCTCAGACTAGGCGAAGTCCACATTCCTTGGGTTCTAGTTAGTCACTGAGTCCGACTTTATTTCTCCCTTCATTTGATCCCCATTATAGTGCCCTTCCTATCTCCAGGGAGATGCCCCTCCTCAAAGCCAGATGTATGACCAGGCCAGCAAAAATTCCCCATCTAGTTTCTCTTGCCCCTCTAGGCCATACACTACCCTCAGTTTATGCACACGGCTCTCAGTGACAGCAACAGCAGTTTCATTATAGGACAGCATTCAGCAAATCCTTCTCAGATCCTTGGCAAGTCCTGGGTTATGCAAGGCAACAGCTAAGACTCAAAGTCTCCTAATGACAAGCCCAACTTCATTGTCTACTTGTAGAAAAAAAGAGAAGGAAACCCCATCCCTCCAAAAGAAACAGAACAGCAAGTTGCTGATGCTCATACCTGACCAGAGGCTTTCTGCATCTTCTCATGTAACCTCTGACGCAAGATATTCATAGCAGACAATGAATTGGATTCAATTTTACCACCTGGAAAAAAAGACATACTTGGGAGACAGCACTCGGTACATGAGAGAGATCTCTGACAATTTTCAATGGATTCCCTTCCAAAGCCAAGTAAATCTCTCCCTTTCTTCTGCCTGTATCCTTCAAGATTATTGACATTTTTTGGTACCACCTAAGGAGTTTCTTCCTGGCTCTGACATTTAGTGCTGTGCTGCACTGTTCAAGTTGAAAAAGCTACTTTATATCCAAACAGAAATCTTTTCACTGAAGACTGAAAGAGGAAAAGATTTTCCTTATTCCTGTGAAATGCAGTTGCTCAACCAAAGACTCCTCAATGCCCTAGGGAAGCAGTTCAAACTGTAGTTCAAGGAGCAATGTCTCTTTTGCACTGGAGAAGCGTATGCCAAGATGTCCAACATATATCAGCACCCATCATCCTGGTCCCTGAAGGCATTATAGGGTCGCTGACACACGTAACCAAATCCAGTGTGGTTTTCACCGCTTCTAAGGGCTTTTGTCTTAAGAAGTACCAACCCTTTCTCTTTGTATGGTATAGTTACTTTGCATTTTTTCCTGGTTCTATGGTGTAAATTTAACCACGATCAGATCTGAGTCCCACAAACTGACTTTCTTGCATATGTACTGGTCTCTGCTGCTTTATCATTCCATCTAGCAAGACCATAGACCACTTGCAGATGCTTCCTCAGGCTGACAAAGGATGTTTGTGCCTGAAAGCTTGCTAAGAATTTTTTTTCCCCAGTATCTGGATTGGTCTAATAAAAAGGCAGCGGATTTACCCAAAAAGCCTTGTCTATAAAAACAGGAGGAGACTCTGGAGCTAAACTAGGTTGCAAATCAATCAGGGGATATTATATGAACAAGGGTTGTAGGTAGCTACTGGAAATATCAGGGTGCCAGGAAATGTACAGTCAAATGAGCAGGCAGAAGAAATGAAGAAAATAAACTTGCTTTCATGCAATTGCCATGCCAGGTTTGTATTTTTCATCTGGTCCTCTCTATTGAATGTCTGGTCCGGGGGGAATAATCACTCTTTCAATGTGACCAGGCACTCTAGGTGCTGAGGCCAGGGCTTGGACTAGAAGCCATACTGACTATACAACCATTTCAAGTTCTCTGTCAAAGAAAATTTGAGAGGTGCTTGTTAAGTATTATGTTTCCCGAGAACCACCTAGTGGTCACACTGCTAATCTGTTTTACGTGTCAGACTCAGCATATTCTCGCTTTAAGTAGTTTTTTGTAGCTAAGAGGGATGTAAAACATTTCATACCACTTTTTTTTTTTTAATTTTCCCTTGAAGGAAGAGTCAGCTTCATTTTTGTCTAGTAATAGCCTCTTACGTGATGCAGTGTTTCGGTGACAAACACTGCAACAAAACATTCAAGAACCATTTGCAATGGATTTTTGATGGGGAAATATGTCTAATCTAGTTCAAAATGAATAAGAAGCTTTTGCAGTATTGGGTCTGGGGCCAGATTTAAATTGGAGAGATCCCTTTTAATAGTTTTTATATGCACATCTCAAATATCTAGGGTGTAACATTACAGCTTGTCTGAGTCTCCCCCATTTGCAGTCTG